ACCTTTCATCTTGCCGACCTTGCATCGTTGCTGTGAGCATTTGTCACGCTGCAGGTGACCGACTCACTACTGACGACTTCTTGGCCAACCTTCTATTTAACTTCTTTAATTGAAATCCAGTTCTGCGTGAGACGAGGTGAGAGCGTGCGCGAGTGAGTGAGTGAGTGAGTGAGTGAGTGAGTGAGTGAAGGAGAGCGTGCGCGTGTGAGCGTGTGCGTGTGTGTGTGTGTGTGTGTGTGTGTGTGTGTGTGTGTGTGTGTGTGTGTGTNGTGTGCGTGTGTGTGTGTGTGTGTGTGTGTGTGTGCGCGCGTGCGTGTGTGTGTGCGCGCGTGTGTGTGTGTGTGTGTGTGTGTGTGTGTGTGTGTGTGTGTGTGTGTGCGTGTGTACGTGACACGTGCTGCCATCTGTGATTAGAAAAGCGAAAAAAAGATATAAAGTGCGATATAAAGTGAATATCGGTAAATCATGCTAAGGTTAAGATGACAATATCAGGCGTCGTGACCGGGATGGGTCGTTAATATTGCACATGAATGCACGCACCCACGCAAAAACATAAATATACACAAGCACGCACGCACGAACGTAGAAATAGACGTAAGAAATAGACAATGTATGTAATTATGAATATAGTACGTTGTAGACTTAATTCACAATCGGAAAATTAATATATATGTATGAAGTAAAATTACAAATGCAGATTTACTGACCTAATACTGTTGTTGACCGGTAGATGGCGGGCAACCGCAACACAAACTTTGACATCATTGCAGACGTTGAGCAAGGTCAACACATAATTTTAAGTAATAATTACTTATCTCGCAGATCTTGGAAATATTAAGAAATCTACAACAGTAATAAGAGAGAAATTTCTATGTGTTGGGAGTACCAACTCTACTACTTCTATACATAACTATACTACATAACTAACACATAACGTTCCCACAACGTTGCTGGAATGTTGTAGTTTGGTTACGTCAGGAATAACGTAGTCCGAGCCGACGCAGACCCCAGTAAACCCGCACCCTCAGATTAGCAAAGCGGAGTTATAACGTATGAATTTGCGGACTAGGAATAACGTTGTAGCAACGTTCCAGAAACGTACCACACGAACGTACGTTACACTCACACCTTCTCACAACGTTATGTAGTAGGCCTAATGTTGTAAAAACGTTATTAGGACGTGTACATATTTTTCTATAGTTAATTAACATCTGTATATACTAATTAGTACTACTATTAGTATTACTATTACTATATCATATGTTAATGTAAAACCTTTATTAATTATGGCAGGGTATTTAAATTTTATTGTCGTTATTTCTGTCTAATATTGTGCAACGTTCTCACATCGTTGTAGGAACGTCTGTAATGTACATTCATTTCCTCAACCAATTCATGTTATTGTTTGAAGGCAGAGACCATGCATGACGACAGTGTGCCATCAACATTAGTATTAGAACTGCTTGAAATGTCAGGAATAACGTTGTAGCAACGTTCCAGAAACGTACCACACAAACGTTACACTCGCACCTTCCCACAACGTTAGGTAGTAACGTTTTTAAAACGTTATTAGGGCGTAGGATACGTACGGTATATGCTATTATACATATTTTTCTATAGTAAATTGACATCTGTATTTATGAAATATACTATATCATGACATATGTTTAAAAAATATTCGCCAAAGGCCCAAAGGCGAGGTGTATCTTGTTGAATAATCCCCGAGACGAAGTCAAGGGGATTATTCAACACGATTCACCGAACCTGAGGCGAATATACGGTGACTTAATCACTTTAAAGAGGGGAAATGTTATGATATATGACCATCAGATGTGGCGTCGAGAACAACGTGTGTGTCGCGTGATATAGTACAGTCGGTTAGGTCAGGATACCATCCAAATCATTCAAATTGTGAAAAAAGTATGAAAATTGGTACACTTGCATACTTTTGTATGCTCTTTCATTTAAAGACATAACACACGCGATCCAACTACAACTTCGGCCGCCATCTTGAATTTAAAAATGGCCGCTGTCATTTCTTAAAAAATTGCTATATCTCGGTTAATAATCTTCGTACAGACTTGAAAATTGACTGACAGACGTAGTTTGGGTTACTATTTCATACAACAACGTGATGCATGTGATCCAAGGGCGTTTTCGGCCACCATCGAATTCAAAATGGCCGCCGTCATTTCTTAAAAAATAGCTATATCTCGGTTAATAATCTCCATACAGACTTGAAATTTTTTTCCGTTTTTGGCCACCATCTTGGATTCAAAATGGCCGCCATACAAATCACAAACTTAGCAATATTTCCGTTAACGGAAGATATAGAGACGTGAAAAGCAGTGAAGCGCAGGTTAATACCCAGCCGGCCAAGTCGACACGTGCCGTATCCAACACGCGTTGGAAACGATGGAAAACACGCATTTTATCGTGGAGTTCTAAACACGCATTTTCAACGTGCCGTTCTTCAAGTAAACGCGACGTGTACACACAAGCAGTTTAAAACTCACGCGCGCGAGCAGACAGCTATACGCCCGCGAGAACGCACGCACGCACATAACAGATAGCTATACGCGCGCGGAGCACGCAACGGCAGACGATAATCAGGTAAGGCCGCCTATACGCCCGCGAAGAGACCGCAAGCGCATGCACGCCACGATAACAGATGCTATTATACGCGCGCGAGCACGCACGCACATAACAGGTACCTATACCCCGCGAGAACGCACGCACATGACAGATAGCGATACGCCCGCGAGCCAGACGCACGCACATACACAGGTACTATACGCCCGCGAGAACGCACGCACGACATAAAAGATAGCTGATACTACGCGCGCCGAGCACGGCACGCACAGAAGAGGTACCTATACGCCCGCGCAAACGCACGCGCATAACAGAAGCTATATACGCGTGCGAGCACGCACGCACATAACAGGTACCTATACGCCCGCGCGAACGCACGCACATAACAGGTACCTATATACGCGCGCGAGCACGCACGCACATGCATAACAGATATCTATACGCCCGTGAGAACGCACGCACGCACATAACAGATAGCTATATACGCGCGCGAGCACGCACGCACATAACAGGTACCTATACGCCCGCGAGAACGCACGCACATAACAGAAGCTATATACGCGCGCGAGCACGCACGCACATAACAGGTACTTATACGCCCGCGAGAACGCACGCACATAACAAAAGCTATATACGCGCGCGAGCACGCACGCACATAACAGGTACCTTATACGCCCGCGAGAAACGCACGCACGCACATAACAAAAGCTATATACGCGCACGAGCACGCACGCACACAAGAAGCTATATACGCGCACGAGCACGCACGCACATATATAACAGGTACTTATACGCCCGCGAGAACGCACGCAACATAACAAAAGCTATAATACGCGCGCGTAGCACGCCACGCACATAACAGATACCTATCAGCGCCCGCGAGAATGCACGCACGCACATAACAGATAGCTATATACGCGCGCGAGCACGCACGCAGATAAGAGCAACAGTAGGGCCACATATACGCCCACGAGAAGGCACGCACGCACATAACAGATAGCTATATACGCGCGCAAGCACGCACGCACATAACAGATAGCTATATACGCGCGCGAGCACGCACGCACATAACAGATACCTATACGCCCGCGATAACGCACGCACATAACAGATACTATACTGTACATACAAGTACTATATTTGTGTTTGTGCAGGTACATGTTACCGCACTGAGTGACAATCTGCGACAACTTGTGGACAATGCAGTTTCGAGACATTTGTTTAACTTAAACAATAGTATTATTTAGCTTTGCCATGCATGTTCGTGTGTGGCTGTATACTACAACTTTGTTGTCTTGAATTATCTCTCTCTCACACGTGGGATTCGATTGCCAGTTTGGCATTGTTTGTTATATACTGAGAAAAATCGGTAATTCAACATTTTCACCATGTTTGTTTGTATCTGTTATACTATGTCATTGATCATTTTGAAGTACAGAGTAAAATGTGATGGCGGCCATGTTGAATTCATTATGGCCGCTGTAATTATAATTGGAACTTGCTGTGTCTTGTTTTATTATGAAAGAGCTTAATTTAACCTGCGCCAGTCTGCAAATTTTCACGTCTCTATATCTTCCGTGAACGGAGAAATTGCCCAGTTTGTAATTTTTATGGTGGCAATTTTGAATCCAAGATGATGGCCAAAAACGCCCTTGGATCACATGCATCACGTTGTTGTATGAAACAGTAACCCAAACTACGTCTGTCAGTCAATTTTCAAGTCTGTACGAAGATTATTAACCGAGATATAGCAATTTTTTAAGAAATGACAGCGGCAATTTTTAAATTCAAGATGGCGGCCGAAGTTGTAGTTGGATCGCGTGTGTTATGTCTTTAAATGAAAGAGCATACAAAAGTATGCAAGTGTACCAATTTTCATACTTTTTTCACAATTTGAATGATTTTTCCCTAATCTACTGTACTAATATGCAAGAATAGTGTTGAAGCACTCCAGTTATTCAAAAAAGATATCTGCGTTGACATGAGCACCAAACATAACAGGCTTATTCCCTATAAGTCTAGGGCGTATAGTGTCCATTCAGTCTATGGTTGGACTGCATATATACAGCCTATAGTATATATATATATATATATATATATATATATACCTATTATGGGTACATTATGACAAGTGGATCGTCTGAACTGTGGGTCATTAATGATTATATTTTTTGGTGGTGTGTGGTAGCAGGAGCACATAAATTATGTGATTTTGGTGGTAATAAGTACTTTCCGAATTGCATACATTTCATGGTAAAATAGTTATGTTTTATTGTATTTTATTTTTAATATTCAAAACCCAACTAGTATAGGCCTTTAAAGTTTTTTTACAGAGCAAAATGATTTGCAACTTTTAACATTTGTACTCGTGGTTATTAAATTCAGGCCAAATTCACCAAAGCGCATCGTACCGATAATCTACACATTTCTATATAAACTGAATAGTGTTACTACATATACTCGATTTTACATTGCAATGAAACACGTCTGCCAACAATTAAGTGCAACAATTAGAACATAGAATTTCTACCAAGTATTAATAATATCTTCTGGGTTATCGCATCTCCGATCCTACATGGGCTTCCTCGGTTAACGTGCTTAGTGTCGCCTACGTTGGTCTAGCGTGTGCCCTGACAAATTCTATGAGACTCGGAGGCAGCCTGTTCTCGTATGCAACGCTGTGTCTGACGATAACGCGCGCGCAGTGGCACTCCAGCGAATGATACTGCGCGCTCATTCTGCCATGTATCTCGTCGCTCGACTGCATGTTGCAGTGGAAACGCGTCAGGTAAATCCGGCGCCAGAGTTCGTACGGTGTCTCTCCCCGTGCGTTCACCACGTCGACGTGTGCGCCGTGGTTGAACAGCAGCGCGTGCACTATCTGCACCCACCCATCCCTCTCTCGCACGTAAACATCATCTTTGCATGCGAGCATCGCCCTACAGAAGCTGTGCAGTGGGGTGTCGCCCACGCTGTCGCGTGTGTTAACCTGTAGAAGTACGCCGGCGGACTCGCACGTCTGTAGGAGAGCTGACGCCGCTTGTACCACTGACCCCGCTTGTTCTGCTGGTGCTGCGAGTGCTACTCGCTCACCCAGGCTTCTCACCTCCGCCTCGCTGCCTATTATAGCCAGTGGCATCATCTTGTTACAATCGACGAGGTTCGGGTCAGCTCCGTGTTTCAAGAGGAGAGCAATCATCTGTGTGAACGAGAGAAACGAGGATCGTTAACAACATGATTTTAGGTTCGTTCCTTAAAGAACAAGTTTCTCTGAGCATACTACCTTTATTACTGTTGCCAATCACTAACTATTACTATTATTAAATTATTAACTATTAACCGATTACTATTACTGATTACCTTTATTATCTAGACAAAAATACATTGAAACATCGCTAAAATTGGCTCCGTCGTTCACAACGTACGCCCACATTTTTCCTCGGTCCCGAGTAGATTGCAGGAGTAGTGTAATCCGGTGAAACTATTTAACATATCTATTATTAACTGTTAACCGATTACTATTACTGATTACTTTTAGCATCTATAAGAAAATACATTAGGACAATGCTAAAATTCAGTCTCAATCATTCGCAACGTACGCCCGTAGTTTTACCTCGGTTTGAAGTCGATCACAGGAGTAGTGCAACGCGGTGAAACTTCCCATTTTTTCCGTCGCGGCAACGCTGGGGTCAGCACCGGCCTCCAGTAGCATGCGCACGGTGTCCAGCTGGCCAGAGCAAGCCGCTTGGTGCAGGGAGGTCTGTCCGTACAAGCCCGCGGCGTTGGCGTCGGCGCCATGTGAGAGCAGCATCCGCACCATCGCCTCCTCGCCATTACTCACCGCCATCAGCAGCGGCGTCGTCCCGCTCATCGTATCGGCGACGTTGGGCTTGGCTGCGGCCTCCAGTAGCAGGCGCATGATGTCCAGCTGGCCAGAGCGAACCGCGATGTGCAGGGAGGTCAATCCGTGCGATTCTGCGGCGTTGGCGTCGGCGCCGTGTGAGAGCAGCATCCGCGCCATCGCCTCCTTGCCGTTCCTTGATGCCATCATCAGCGGCGTCACTCCGCTCTTCGTCTCGGCGACGTTGGGGTCTGCGCCGGCCTCTAGTAGCATGCGCATGATGTCCAGCTGGCCAGAGCGAGCCACGATGAGCAGGGAGGTCTGTCTGTACGAGTCTGCGGCATTGGCGTCTGCGCCGTGTGAGAGCAGCATCCGCACCATTGCCTCCTCGCCCTCCCTCACCGCCATCACCAGCAGCCTCACTCTGCTCTTCGTCTCGTCGACGTTGGGGTCGGCGCCGGCCTCCAGTAGCAGGTGCATGATGTACAGCCGGCCAGAGCAAGCCGCGCGGTACAGGGAGGTATGTCTGTACAAGTTTGCGGCGTTGGCGTCGGCGCCGTGTGAGAGCAGCATCTGCACCGCCGCCTCCTTGCCCTCCCTCACCGCCATCATCAGCGGCGTCTCTCCGCTCTTCGCCTCGGCGACGTTTGGATCTGCACCGGCCTCCAGTAGCAGGCGCATGATGTCCAGCCTGCCAGAGCAAACCGTGTGGTACAGGGAGGTCTGTCCTTGCGAGTCCGCGGCGTTGGCGTCGGCGCCTTGTGAGAGCAGCATCCGCACCATCGCCTCCTCGCCCTTCCTCACCGCCATCATCAGCGGCGTCTCCCCGGTCTTCGTCATGGCCAAGTTGGCCATGCTGGCCTCCAGTTGCATGCACAGGCGAACGATGTCCAGCCGGGAATAGCAAGCCGTCGGCATCAGCGGCGTCGACCCGATGCTGTCTCTCGCGTTGATATCAATCGAGTCGCGCGCGAGAAGCAGATCCAGGACCCGCGCGTTCCCGCCGGCCACGGCTGCGTGCAGCATCGTTCTGCCGTCACGGTAACGCTTGCGAACGTTGGCTCCATTGTCTAGCAGCACGACTACAACATCCACGCTGGCTGTTTCGCAGGCGAGCATGAGAGGCGTTTGCCCGCGCGCATCCTCCTCTTGCAGGGGCGCGTCATGCAGCAGCAACTGTTTCACAATCTCCATCTTCTCTTCCGTTCTGCCCCGCGAAAGTGCGCATGCGACATGGAGAGGCGTCTCCATGCGTACGTTCACGCACGATGTTTTCGTTCCACCTCGCAGAAGTTCTAACACTTTCTCAACGTCCCCACGTGAACAGGCAGCATGCAGGTCTGACATTCTTCTCCTATCTGTAGGCACGCACTGTGCTTCTTTCCGTTGTGTGAGGGTCCAGTGCAGTTCACCTACCTAAAATGCACACTGATGTTCACGAAGGCATGTAGTTGATTGCGATGTTAATATAGTGCAAGACAAATCGAAATCAGCTTTGTTCTCCACGTATTCACATTTTCTGTAATGCAGTGTACAACAGATCGCGGGAAAAGGTTATTTTTCTAATTGCACAAAAGCTGAAGTCCAAGCTAGGCCAGGAAGCAAATCGGAAATGGGACAAATAAAGTGATTAAGCCTGGAGGATTGCCAAAGCATGGACACATCCACTGCTTCCCAATGCTCCACCTGCTTTGCCAAGTGCAACGCGTAACTCGGTAGCTAAAGCTGCGCTGAAGCGTAAAGGTGGTAAGACAAAAATTAACCGGTGCAGTCCTGAACTGTTTTGAACGAAATAGTGGAATAGGAGAAAGTGTAGAAAACAACTTGGTTAAAGAACTAGCAAGAAGTGGTGTATCCATATGGAATCTAATTCTGAGATATTATTCATTTAGTGTAGGTGCTTAGATCTAACATTAGATTAAAGCCGCAATATGCGCATCTACACGCTAATTTCTCCAGTACTAGACTAGCAAATACTTCGTGTCATGCATAATCATACTACCTTATGACAAAATAAACTCTAATTCCGCCCATTTAACTGCGCGTTGTCTTAAAAAAGGTATTTGAAAATACCTCCAATGTTCTTCAAATTCTCCGATGTTGTTGACACTTTCGCGTTGCGCTGCCAAGCAACCGTACAGTGGGTGTAGCAAAGATTTCTACGGCCCGTGTGCGTTTTTCACTCGCACGCTGCTCGCGCAATGACATGTTACCGTTCGCGATATCAAGCCTAAAATCAATACGTTATTCTCAGAGTTTATTACGCTGCCTATAATATTACTTTCCCAATAGCCATTGATGTTACATAAACTGCAGTTCACAATGCTACAACTATCTTTAAATGTAAACAACTATATTCTCTGCTCAACACCCGTAGCAACATGTGACGTCACCTAACCGATTCGGGGTGAAATTGCTTGGCAAACAATTCGGCGTTGGCGCCAGATTACCAGATTTCGCACCTCTTTCTTGTGGGTTTTAAGCAAACGCGCAGTGAAATGGGAGGAACTAGAGTTTATTTTGTCATAAGGTAATGTGATTATGCATGTCACCAAGTATTTGCTAAGTCTAGTACTGGAGAAATTAGCATGTAGATGCGCATATTGTGGCTTTAAGTTTAAGTGAGACAGGACAGTAGTAGTACTGTGGTAGGGTAAAGCTAAATAGTAACGCTGTGGCTACGAGTACGGCAGCCGTATCTTAACGTCTCGAGGCTGGAGGTACGGCAGTCTATTCGCTTTCATACTTAATGAGACAAAGATGGCGGCGGGTGGCACCAGATTTCGAAATAACGCCTTGGGAAATAAATTCACGATTTGAGAGTTTAGATGAGCTAGAACCCTAACCTTAACCCTAACCCTAACGCAAAAAAGGGGCTTCAACGAACGACGGCTGCTGTACCTCCAGCAACTGCAAAATAGTAAACGAGTTTAGTTGGTGTAGGGACACCAGTTCCACGTGTCAGCTAGTTAATTACCACCTAATACTTATTTTAATTTATGTATTTAGATGCTGAAGCCTTTATGGCTAGATAACAGTCTATGCTGCAAGTAAAAATTACAATTAAATGAAAGTGTCAATGACACTGTAGCACACAACAAAAAAGGACAAAAATGAGTGAGTGAGAAGAAGTCAGTTTTAATTGAGCAACCATCGACGTACATTATATACTCTTGATAATTATATGTGTAATTTTTTATGTGAAAATAAATGTTTGAGATGTGAAAGTCTGAGATGTGGGCGAGTGATGGCGTTAG